GTCGATAGAGTGTTGGGGGAGAAGTAGGTTTCGATGATCACATCAGTACGATGACGGCATGGAGGATCTCGACCGCATGCCCTCGATCAACAGCAACCAGGACATCCATGCCCAGCTGCAGGCCGCCGCCACGCCCCTCGAGTTCCAGGCCACGCTCGAGACCAAATTTGCCAGCTACGACAGCTACTGCAACCTCTTCCACTACATCCTCAATTCAGAGGGGCCTGTTGACCTCGAGGTGCCCAATGTGAGCAGCCCCTGACATTGGCTCCCATGAACACATGGTGCACACCAGAGAAGCACCAGCAGACTAACGCGGGGTAGTACTACTGGGCCTGGGATGTCATCGACGAGTTCATCTACCAGTTCAACAGCTTCTGCAGCTACCGCCAGCGCGTCGCCCAAAAGAACGAAAACGAGGAGGAGATTGCGCTCCTGCGCGAGAACCCAAACACATGGGGCTGCTACAGCGTCCTCAACGTCCTCTACTCGCTCATCCAGCGGTCACAGATCAGCGAGCAGCTCGGTGCCATGAAGCGTGGCGAGGACGCCAGTCTCTACGCAGGAGAGTACGGCAACCGTCCGCTGTATAAGATGTTGGGCTACTTCTCCATCATTGGTCTGCTCCGCGTCCACTGCCTCCTCGGAGACTTCAGCCTCGCGCTCAAGACGCTCGACGACATTGAGCTCAACAAGAAGGCCATGTTCGCGCGCGTCATGGCTGCCCACTTCACAACCTACTACTATGTAGGATTCTCCTACATGATGATGCGCCGGTACTCAGACGCCATCCGCATGTTCAGCCACATCTTGGTCTACGTCTCACGGACAAAGAACTTCCAGAAGAATGCGCAGTACGACTCCATTACTAAGAAGAATGATCAAATGTACGCACTCATCGCCATCTGCGTTGCTTTCCAGCCCACAAGGCTCGATGACACCATTCACACTGCTCTCCGCGAGAAGTACGGCGAGCAGTTCAACAGGCTGCAGCGCGGTGGACCTGAAGCCCTGCCCCTCTTCGAGGAGCTGTTCCGCACCGCATGCCCCAAGTTCATCAGTCCGACTCCCCCCGACTTTGACAACCCAGAGGTCAACATTGACCCGGTTGAGCACCACCTCCGCATTTTCATGGACGAAGTCAAGAACAACATGATGTCACCCACTGTCAAGAGCTACCTCAAGCTCTACACTACTATGGACTTGAAGAAGTTGGCCGGCTTCCTTGAGGTCGAGCCCGAGAAGCTAAGATGCTGGTTGCTCGTCAACAAGCAGAGGAACAGGCAGATCAGGTGGACCGAGGGTGGACTGTTGGATGGTGACATCGTCAACAGCGGCGACTTGGACTACGCTATGGAAGGAGTAGGTCTACTCAAGCATAAACTTGGATTGAAAGCTCAGCTAACCACTTGTAGGACCTTATCCACGTATCAGAGGCAAAGGTCGGCAGGAGGCTGGTAGACTGGTACCTGCGTAACCTGGCTAGGACATACTAAGACGGTCTATTTCTTAGAGTCGCAAGGGGGTGGTATGATTCATTGTCAATGCTGGCTCAGGACATGTCGCGACGGAGCATTGCAATTGGAGTTGGAAATTCAAAAGTATTTTCGCGGAAACCCAGGAAGGTTCAAGGAACCGGGAAGGTGACACGCGCACATGATGCTGTCAATCCGACGAGGAGATGGCCGCGACGGTGCAAGGCAAGACTTTGGAAAGCAGAGGAGCTCTATAGCATCAAGGAGCATGGATCCAGGAATATTGATCAAAGTATGATCACAACTAGATGTGCCACATGTGTGTGTGTGTGTGTAGTATTGACATGGAATTTTATGGTGCGATTGGTATTGGCGTCCAAGATGGATGAGTTGCACCATTGGATACATGTAGCAGAGTTAGCAAAGCAAGGCTTGTGAGCGCCATGAGTGGATCAGCAGCTTTCCCTCAACCGAGAGAGACTCGAAGGTTCGGCCAACACCAACCAACCCCCAGCGACGTCAACGGCAGCAATTACCGGCCAAAGGCGCAAGTCCGCGTCGCGTGCACGGCAAGCGATCTGCCCCAAACATGATCAGTTGACAACCATGTAAACGCGCCTGCCCCTCATCGGTTGTTGGTGCCGCTCCATCACTTTCTTCCGACAAATCCTTCCCACCTGACCGCCCGCTGTCATAGCTGCCTTGCCTTTCTCACCGACAAAAAAGCATCGGCCATCTTTACCTCTCGGGTCTTTTTGCTTGATCTTGGACACTGCGACACCGCTATCGAGTGTCACAACTCGTGCACAGCGGGGTCAAGGTACACGGACAAACAACTCGACACGCAACCGTCACCCTCCTAGTCTAAACAATACAGGGACAGCCTACCAACGCCTGCTCGGATACCACTACCACTACCACTACCACTACGTCAACGAGAGGGACAAACCTGCAAACAACGCAATGGCTCCCGATCTGAACTCGGTGCCTCCCTCCCCACACCCAAATGTTACGAGCCATCCGTCCTCCAGCACTCAACCAGCGTCCGGCTCGCTGTCCCGCCAAAACTCCACGCCAGCCTCAAGACGAGCATCGCAAATCTACCCCATGAGCCCTCCGCCACTACCTCTGGCTTCACCTGGTGGTACGATCCCGCCCATAGCACACTCTGGGTCCCAGCACAACCTTGCCTTTCCCCCTCTCAGTCCAAACATGAGTGGCCACATGGCAAGCGCGGACTCGGCAGGCGTACCTATGCGGCACCCGCGCCCCATGACGCCCGCAGAATTGCATCTCGAGCTGGAGAAGGAGCAAGAAGCGGTCGTCAACAGACTCACCCGCGAACTATCTGCGCTGCGAGCTCACTCTGCTTCTGTAGCATCTACTGCCTCTAGCACTGCAGAGTCGTCGGTAACACACGCCGAGTCGCTAACGGGCCCTACACATCCCACTTCCTCGCGCCGTCACCGTAGTTCCTCAAGCGTGTCCCGTAATGGACCCCCTGCCGGCTTTCCGCATCGCTACTCGGTGTCGTCACAGCCGGCTGGGGGTGATGCGAGGGATCATCGGAGCCCGAGTGTGGTGAGTACACCGAGATATGAGGAGGTTGCGCTACATAAGGCGGAGTTGGAGGAAGCCAGGAAGGAGAATGAGGCGTTGAAGCAGAGAATCAGGGATTTGGAGAGGATGATTAGGGGGAACGAGAGTGATGGACAGAGGGGGAGGAGCGGGCAGCCGGCGCAGGGTGCTGGGGCTTGAAGGCGTTGAAATGGGTTCGGGGGGGCAATGAGTCGTGAAGCAAGATGGACTTTTTCAAGTCCATTGGTTCGAGAAAGATTTGAAGTTTTAGAGCTTCATCATGTTTTGGTTTTGTACCGCCCAGCGTACTTGATCTCAGCACCGGCGTTTAAAGGAGATGGAAAAAGCAGGGCACGCGACGAGAGCACACACTACACCACCATTCAGGCTAGTCGTCATCCTATCTCGACAGATAGATATTCCCTTGCTATCATTTCCAAATATACACAACATGCAGACTCCACCAACACTACCATGTCAAAAAAAAACTCTCTCAGACATCTACCTCCTTCTCTTGTACACGATTCATCATATAACGCGAACACACTCGTCTGAACACGTCTTCATAGCCTCCTTCCCCCACCGCCCATCTTCTTATTCTCACTATGCCTCTTGGCCTTCAACGCATCCCGCCTTCTCTTCTTCCACGCCCGATTCAGCTCGCCCCGATTCTCCCAGAACCATTTGCGAAACTCGCTTTCGGGCTTGTCTTCCTTGGTTGCTTTGGCTTTGAGCTGTTTCCCGCCTGAAGCAGGATTGGCGTCTTCTTTCCCCTCGTCATCGGCATCATCATCGTCGTCGTCGTCATCGTCCCCTTCTTCTTCGTCTTCTTCTTCTTCTTGCTCCTCCGCGACTTCGGCTAGCCGCGACTTGGCAGCCTTCGCAGTTGCATTCGCATTCGCATTCGCCTGCGTGTTCAGCGTCAATTGCTGCTGCGCATCTGGATCGGCTTCTGCGTCCGACTCGTCGTCTGCTTCGGCACTGTTCTTGCGCCAGTCAAAGGAGAAGCGGCGGCCGATGGCTGCGGTGTCTGGGGTTGGGGCTGCGGAGCGGAGACCGCGCCACTCGATGTCGCGTTGGGTGTGGGGGGTTGTTGGGGCCGGGGCATCGGTGGTGGTAATGGTGGAGGCGTCGTGGTCCATGTCCATGGGGTCGGTGGGCGCGGTGTCGAAGAAGCTGAAGGATGTGTTGATGGGTTGGAGTTTCTTGGTGGGTGTGGTCGTTGCGTCCGAGGTGGGTTTTGCGCGCTTGAAGAGGGCTTCTAGGGGGTGGACTTGCTTGGTTTCTTGCGTTTCCTGTGCCGCTGCGGGTGGCGAGGGCGCCTTTGCGGTCTGTTGTGCGAGGGAAGTAGGGGCAGGTTCAGATTTTTCTTCTTCATCCTCTCCATCCTCAGACTCGGCTTCAGAGTCGGATTCTTCCGCTGACTCTGATTCTGAAGAAGAGACGACGGATGATTCGTCCGTCTCAGACTCGGATGATGAGGGCGGAGGTGTAGCCTTCTTTTCCTTCTTAGTCTTCTCCTTGTTTGGGGATGATGATGCAGGTTTCCCTGAACCATCAATCCATGCTTTTGCAGACGCCGACAGTGCATCTACGAGCTCCAGCGTTCGCTTGGCTTTTGCCTTTCCCGTCTCTGGTTCTACCACAACACCATCCTCGTCTACCCAACCCTGTCCATTGACGTACTCGACGGCCGGCTTCTTCTCCGTGGAGACTTTAGTCTCTTTGAGAAACGTTGGAGTCTTGTAGTTCTTTTCAAATTCGTGCACAACCACCTCTCGTGCCTTGGACTTGTTCTTCTCCTTCTTCTCCTTCTTCTTTTCCTTCTTGTCCTTGCGTGCGACTTCTGCAGCAGCCACAGGGGTTAGCTTGGCCTTGAAGAGCAGCTCCGGCTCTTTCGTATACTTGGACTTTCTCTGTTCATGCTTGCCATCCTTGTCCTTTTTCTCTTTTTTCTCCTTCCTCCCTTTTCCACTCTTCGACGGTGGCTCAGTCCATCCACGCTTGACCTTTCGGCCATCAGGCAGTTCAATACCTTCCAGCACGCCATTCTCTTCTTTTCGCTTCTTGTCCTTCTTCGCGCGCTTCACAGGCCTCTCTGCCTCAACAGCTTCCTTCGCTGCGTCCGCCTCCTCGCGAGCCTTGCGCTTCTCGGATTTGGCCATTTCTATGCGCACCTTTGTCCCTCGGAGCGTGGTTCCGTTCAGCTTCTTCTTCAGCTTCTGCGCCTCGACCTCGGGTAGCTCAACGTAGCCAAAGCCCTTTTCGGGGAAGGTCTCAACAGTGTGAAACGAAATGTTCTGGGCAAGTGGCTGGACAGACGGCGCAATATAGACCTTCAGCAAGTCGGGTCGGAAGGGTGTGATATGCAGGCGAACAATCTTGTTCTCATCGGGCGGTGATGGTTGCGCTTCGGTGGGAATAGCCGCTTGTGCTGCGAGCATTGGGTCCCGTGATCGCTCGTGTGCGACACCTTAAAAGAAGGGATGCAGCTGCGTGAGTATAGTCTCCAGCTGCACCGTGGCTGGGTTTGAGTATGCAGAGGTGTTACCACTGCTCATAAGCGTGGTGTTGATGCTTTGAGACGGTCGCGAAGTGGAGGGGAAAGGAAAATGTTTAGCATATTCTCCACGGCCCACTAACGCTTGCGGGCGGAGGTGTGCTCCTAGCTGGAACCCATCACCATGGGTCTGTCTCTTACACATCTGTCTTGGGACCAGACGTCTAAATAAGCTACACCACACATTGGCCGTAATGCGCAAACCACCTTTCTGCCTCTTTGTCTTCCTCACCTTCCTCACCTTCCTGTTCCTCTCTCTAGCAGCCTGTCAGTCCCAATCTCCCCCCTCTGCGCCTCAGGCTTCCTTCCTTTCCTCTCTCGCGATACCGACTAACACCCCACAGCGCCGACATCCTTCTGCAAATGCACCTGTTTCGGTAATAGCACCATTGTCGCCCTCGACGCACGCACTTCTACCAAGAAGCCTGCAATCCCCGAACTTCACAAGCCCCGCGCAGCCAAAAAGTCATGCAACGACTGTAATCGCCAGTTTTGCTTGGGTTACAGCTTCTGTACGGGCGAGAAGGAGGAGAATGTGCTGACTACATGCTTCCAACGGGACTCGGCCAAGGATCAGGCAGTGGTATTCATCTTTATTGGGGCGACGCTGGGGCTATTGGGGTGGGCTGGATTGAGACCGTGGATTGAGGGGTGGAGAGAGGTATGTGAATATCAGAAATCGGAGGGGGAAGTCTCCCGTAGGCATGCTCTAACAATACACAGAAGGTACGAGAGCGGCGGAACTATATACCTGTCTCTGCGCAGAACGATCGATGAGCGGGATAGCATGTATGTCATGACACATGGTCAATTGCAAGTTCCGATGATTTTCATAGACATCAAGTTTAGAGAGCCCAAGATGCTTCTATTCATACCAAAACCCCCATCATGCAAACATAGTAGTAGTACAGCAATGTACAGGCTGTGAGGTTGTCGGCTGTACATAGAGTCCGTTCCTCTCCTCCTTCCTGCTCTTCCATCTATTCCTTTTCCTCTCCGTGCTCCTACTCTTTCTTAGATCCACCCAGGAAGCTGAACCAGCCCTTGCTCGCTTGCTCTATTTTTTGCTCGACCTTCTGAGTCGCTCTCTTGGCAGTATTGTCTAGTGGGCCTCCGACTAGCGGTGTCGATGATGAGGCTAGTGAGGATGCACCACTGGTATTCGCCCTCGCTTCCTGAACCGCTGTGGTTATACCAAGGCCTTGTCCTTGCTGTGCTTCCTGTCTCTTGACCTCCTCAACCGCCAGTCGTCTTTGCTCCGCAATTTCCTTCTCTTCTTTCCAGTCACCATGTGCCCACCACAGCAGCCTTGAGGGAAGTTTGCGCTCTGCCTGCTTCTTCTCATATGCTTCTTGCTCTTCGGCAATTCCTGTGACAAGGGCAGTTTGTGCCGGTGTTGCTGTCCCACTGGCGACGGCGGAGCGGGCGAGGTCAAGGATCCTGGCTTGTGCCTTCTCTTCTTCGGCGAAATATAGGGCGCGCTTCCGTCGATTGTAGACAATCATGTCGCCTATCGAGAAGACGGCGATGACACCGACGCAACCTAGACTCGTTGTTATTATCATGCTTTCCTTTCAAGTCCCAGTGCAACTGCAATTGGGCTGATGAGTTGCGGTGCATACCAGTCGCAAAGATTAAACCGTAGACTGTAAACCGATGCGCCGCATCTGCGGCCATTCTGCCGTACAAATACATGTAATCCCACCGCGTGACCTGTGCCATCTTCGCCCTATTCGCAGCCTCTCGTAATCTCTTGACTTTCTGTTGTGGCGTTTCATTCTTGGGTGCGGGATCGGCGAACTGCAGTGTCGTAGCTCGGCCTCCCGGTCTTGTGTGCGCCCAAACGCCCGTCGCTGTGAAGCGTGTGGAGTCTCCTGGCGATTTTGACATTGTGGGTGACGTTAGTCCGTAAGGATGTAAGGAAAGTGGTGGGTGGTGGGCGGCGTCAGAGGATTGCGGAGTTGCAAGTGGAATGATTCAATGATCAAAAGTTGAGATTGGACTAACGTTAGGGTAGGGTTCGATGCGGAGAAATCCGCGAATCATCGGGCCAACGTTTGTCCTGAGATCATACAACTCGTGGGAACATGTTGAAACAGTAACAGCTTCATAATTGGATTGAAATTAGGAGTAGCAGTCCTTCTGGTCGTTCTTGAAGCTTCATGGACGATGAGTACGCGCCGTGCACGATCCAACGACCAGGCTCATCTTTCCCTGCATTCACTAGGTTAACAAACGCAGAACACGCCATGTTCAGCTTCTTGCAAGACCACCACAACACACTCTCTTGCGCATTCGGCTGATCCTATCTCTTCCGATTCATTTAGTTGACAATATCCTATGATCGACTCGAGGTCGTCATCGATATGGATCCAAATCTTGACCTAGCAAAGATCCTGGCGACGCTGGCGAATTTACCCAAACCAGAGTCGCAAAGTTACGAACAGCAGGTGCAAGAAACCAATCCAGTTCAGAGCTATGCTGGTTTTCAGAATCCAATGCACGCGTATCCAGATCATCAGAGCACAGCGTATCAGCATCCAGCCGATCCTCGGTTAGTGAATCGACAAACACATCAACATCGAGAACCTGCCCTCAAGCCACAAGAAAGATCTTCGACTCCGTTGGTAGACCCCTCGACGATCACAGAATGGAAGCAGGGTCTTCGTTGTGTGAGCAAATTAGCAGTCCAGAACCCAGACTTTGTCCCAGCGGTTCGCAAGGTATGTTGAAGGTCGAGCCATGACAAACCATCCACCAAATAATGATACTAATCGGGTTTACAGCTGATGAAGGACCAAGAGCAGAACGTTCGCTCTTGGGAAGGCGGGCGGGCACGACTGATCGAAGACCACAAGTTCAAGCGTGAGAATGAGCAAACGCATCGTGCTGCACTGTAAGTGTATTGCCAGTTTTTTTTTGGCCAAACCACTAACACACATAGATCCTTGCCAGGATTGTTGGGAGGCGCTCCACCCCTTCGTGTACGAATTTCCACAGATCGCATGCATGTCCCTAACTAACAGATGCAGACTCCAGAACGCGAGAAAGAAGAACTAGATGAGTATGATGCCAAAGTCTATAGGGCGTCTAAAGCTATGGTCGAGTCACAGACATCTTCTCTCAAGCTACTTGGTGTGCCATTCTTTGGAATCAAGCCATATCTTGTGATACAGTCGTCTGAAGAAACACAAGGATCTGATGCTTCGCATTCACATGGCAAGATCACGAAGGAACAGCTTCTTGAGTTGCAACGCAAGATGTTGAACCATTTGATGGAGCTCTATGGGGACTGAGAGAAGTTGCAGTATCAGGTAATTGGCCCACACATAGAAAGAGACAACCACATACATGTGTCTGCTCAGGCACCTCCGCGACCCAAGTTCCTACGTGGTAACAAGCTTAGGCCACATGGATCCAATGATAGAGCTTCGTGAACGTGATGACAGTCTCTGTTGTGGAACTCACTCCAAGTAATCAAACTAGTCGTTCTTAAATTGCGTCCTACCTTATATGGTTGGACTGGACGGGCCATTTCGAAGGTGCCCAACCTTCGCTCGCACGAGCATTCCCACCTTCACGTCTTAGTGCGAGTTCTCCAGTCGTTCTCGCGATCCAGAACCTTGGCTTCTCATGTTGGAGTTGATCAAGCTGTAGTAGCGATCGACGCATTCGACAGGAAGCATGTTGAAACAGTGCTTGATACTGGAGCCTTGAGCATTCGCACACTGCATTACATTCACCAGAATGGTGCCTTCTTGTGATACCGTCGCCCCCGCACCTTAATTAGAGCGTTTGCCAAATGATACTGCCTCACCGCGGTTGCGTAGCCGCTAAGCTTGTTATTAAGGACGACCTGAACCGCACCTTCCTCCCCACAAACCTCACAGCCCATTCCTTTGCTTTACCACACTCTTTTCACACGCTCGCTATATACTATTCTGCCTGCTACTCACCCACTGAGTACCTCGACCGCCATCAACATGATCATCGCAAACACTCTTCTGCTTGCTGTACTGGCCTGTAAGCGCTTCTCCTCCTAACACGCTCAGCACGATTGGTCTGAGTACCTTTCTGAATGTTCGACTGGAGTCAATGAATACTCGCTTACATAGACACAGCTTGCGCTCTCGCCGGAGCCGCTCAATACGGCTACGATGCAGACCCCGTCTTCGCGTCGGCTCTTACTCCTCGAGACAGCTGTTCAGAGCTACCTCAGCTTTGCACCGATCTTGTGACGCTCCACGGTATGGCAACAATGTTGACCTACCTCTGTCCCGAGCCGACAGCTCTCAGCACCGTCCATGTTACCCAGACCATGACCACAACTGTGACTGTCGCCCCAACTGGTAACGGTGACCCGCAGTCCACTAAGACATCCGATGAGTATGTCTTGCGTAAAAGAAACGCAGCGTAATGTCCTGACCATGTTATAGAGATCCAACCGGCTCCGAAGAGGCTACAACAACGACTACGGTTAGGTCCACGGTCACCGAGCATAGGACTATCACCCTCGTGCACAGTACCGACGGATCGAAGTCCTCTGTTAGGACATCTGTCATGACTGAGCCATCCTCCGAGAGCCAATCCCTTGATATGCCCACGTTCATGCTGCCTATCATCACGGAGTCGTTCTCAAAGGCCGCTCCTACTAAAGCCAATGTCACTTCTTCCATGCTCGCACCTACCGCGATATATCGGAACAAGACATCGTACAGTGGCTATGCAAAGCCCACGATCAGTCTATTCAGAGGTGCAAAGGCTTCAGATTCTGTTATTCCGTTCAAGGGTATCGCTGGACACCATGATGTTCCCTACATTGTTCTATTGCTTGGCACAATGATAGCTGCTGCCAGCGTATGAGCAGAGGGGACACGAGGTCAATTGTTGCCCAGGACGGAAGTATGAGGGTTATATAAGGTCGAATGTTGGTGGAGGCAGCATGTGTTCCACGTAAATCGATATGTGCAACATGTGAGCCGCTCTCAAGGTGCTACTTAGTGTGCCGGCACGGTGATGACGGCTGGGGGCCATGATATGCACATACGGCTATGCTCAATGAGGAAATGACTGCTGAATGAATCACAATGACTCGAGTTGTGCACGATTGTTCTGGCTGAAAGTCTTGCGAAACGTGATAGTCGATTGTGGTATTGTGATGTCCTCATCCCACCCTATCCAGAGACTAGAGCTGGAGGAAGCTGGGTGTGGTTCTGGCCATAGCTCACACAACAATGTGGGACCGAAGGCTGCGGACTCGCGAGCCAATCACGGTGGTGTCGCACCGCGACCACGGAACCCTTGGACAAGCTCCACGACCTGTCACCCTCACCGTTGGTGAAAAACCAATCGAACTTGCTACAACATTGTCCACTTGATCTTGACGTCCTGCCAGACGTGATCGCACACCCTTCCACGCCGTCGATATCCTTGCCTCAGATTCATACCTCACCTCTTCACGCGTTGTTCGCCAACGAAGAGGTTTGTTAGCGACTGTCCTTGGGCTCAGGTCGCACTTGCAGTACGCTTCGGTCGCAGGATACCAGACCGTCACTTCTTGTTGGTGACGAGCCAAGATGGTTGGCAAAAAGTCGGGCAGAGCCCAATTGCGGGAAGAAGGTCTGCTCCTGGCACTTCACAACTAGCATGGCTATGTCTAACTCGTGGAAAGGACTCGAGCGGACAGACAACAACATGGACCTTACCACCTGGCCTGTAGTTGGTATGATCAATCAAAAGAACTACTACACCGAGTTCCTCAAGCGCGATGAGCAGTTCCTCGCTGTACGATACCCAAAAGATGAGGAAAGGGCGCGCATAGTCCTAGAGGCTCGGGACAAAGATCGAGCACGCGTGGTAGGCGTGCCTGTTATGGAAGGGATGACACCACAGGCTACAGAGGACACAGCAGAAGACGTTGAGGGCTCGTTTGCATCACGTACAGACATATCAAAACTCATCGTCATACATCCCGGCAGCCAAAACCTACGGATAGGCCTCGGCTCGGATGCCCTACCCAAGACGGTACCCATGGTGATCGCACGGCGGTGGAAAGAGAGCGAGGATGAGGAAGATGGCGGTGAGCCAAGTCCGAAGCGTATGAAGGTCGAGGGTGAGGTGCCAGCAGACGCCCTGCCGGAGAAGTGGTTTGGAGACGATTTTCGCGACCAGTACGGTGCCATGACATCGGAGCTACGATTACGCATGCGCCAGAACAAGCGACGAGTGTTGCCCAACTCCAAGGATCTTGTCTCGAATTTCAACAAGCGCACACCCCCAGATATCATCTCCGAACACAATGATATCAATCGTATTGAATGGACGGAGATTCCTGCCGACCCAAAGAAAGCACCCGATTTCTTCACTGGAAATGAAGCTTTACGGATACCTGAGAAGTCTAACCCCCGCTATAAACTATTCTGGCCCATCCGGAGTGGCACGTTCAATGAGAAAGACTACTTTGACCGAAATCAGATATATCACGACATCTCAAAGATTCTCGAGGAGGCATTCCGAAATCAGCTTGGGATCACGAGGATGAAGGATCTTATCAACTACAAGTGTGTATTCATCATCCCAGACCTCTACGAACGCCAATACGTTACAATGATCCTCGACATCTTAATACGAGATCTTGGGCTCGGTAAGGTCTGTCTGCAACAAGAGAGCCTTTCAGCTACATTTGGGGCGGGCTATGGTGTTGCTTGTGTGGTTGACATTGGCGCTCAAAAGACCTCGATATGTTGTGTAGACGAAGGACTATGTGCGGAAGAATCGCGTGTCAATTTGAAGATGGGCGGCGCGGACATTACTGAGACGTTCATCAAGATGATGCTCTTCGGGCACTTCCCATATTCGGACATGAATCTGAAGCGGCGATACGATTTCCTACTTGCTGAAGAACTCAAACAGAAATTCTGCTCCATGGTCGAAAACTCAGTCACGGTGCAGACATGGGACTTCCATCTGCGGGCGTCTGGCCAAGACACACGTAAATACGTGTTCAAGACGTATGACGAGACTATGTTGTCGGTCATGGTACGAAGGCAATTGAACACGATAGCACGATATACTGACAGGTACAGGGTTTATTCAAACCATCAATATTCGACAATGCGTCAAAACTAGCGAATCGACGGAAAATCATTCCTCGCTCGGTCGACCTGTACGATGGATCCCCCAACGATCCTCTCTCTTCGGCCCAAGCTGCAGTCATTGAGATTGCAGCCGGTAAATCCTCGAATGGTGCCCAGGACGCCTCCATCGCCACCCCCCAACGACCCGCCCAGTTCAACCTCCTCGACCGTCTCAATGGCAACGAAAACACGCCCCGCTCCTCGGTAGCAGGTTCTCCCGTCCCTGAAGGCACCAACACGCCTAACCCCGAGCGCGACACCCCCATGGGTGATGCCGACGGCGCCCCACTCATCTTCCGTGACCCCATCCACGAAAAGACCAAGATCGCCGAAGAGCGCGACAAGATCTTGCCTGTCATTCCCCTCGACCAAGCTATCCTCGAATCCCTAGCCCAAGGTGCCCGTGGCGACGACCGCAAACTGCGCGACTTCTTCGGCGGCATCATGCTCGTTGGCGGCGTATCCAAAACCCCTGGACTCCGCGAATTTATCGAAGCCCGACTACGCGAGCTGCGCCCCTTTTACGGCAAGGAGATTCTTGTCGGACCGCCGCCGCGTGACTTTGATCCGCAGGTGGTGGCCTGGAAGGGCGGCAGTGTGTTTGGCCGGCTGAGTAGTCATGGGAATGACAGCTGGATTAGCAAGGCCGAGTATGATATTCTGGGTGCTAGGTTGTTGAATAATAAGTGCATGTTTGCTTGGTAGGATCATTGCTACATGAGACGACTTTAGATGGGGATGGTGGTGGTTGTGGTGATGATGATGATGACGATGACGAGGAAATTGGGGAATAGCAAGGGGAATATGAGGATGGTATTCTAATCCAGCACTGGCTTTGTTTGCAACAGCTGATGTTCTAATGCATTATAGGCGGTTGTTGGGTACGGCAGGATAACAGAGGAATCTCCATAGGACGCAAAAGAAATTCCCCCATGGCATACGTGGCAAGGACATGAATGACTCTCTACAACTGTCGATTTTTTTTTAACAACAACATGCAGAACAATCCGCTCAGACACCAGATTTTTGATTGATAAACATGTTTAAAAAAACAAAATATGATTGTTATGCACTTGTAAAGCAAATATAGCCACATCTGTCTCTCGCTGTGTTATCCCTTGTGCAAGCGATGAACAGCTCGGCTGCGTTGGGGATTCTTGGTGCGTGTGTCATGTGTTGGATGTGTCGGATGTGTAGTAAATCGGTGTATAGGTGAACGACTTGACCTTTTTATTCACTCTATTCGGTTATTCGGTCATTCATTCATTCATACACAGTAACCCAATACATCTCAAACACAGTAACCCATAACTCCTCATCCAAACAAGCCACCCCTTCCCCCGCCAAAAAGACTCCCACCCCCCCTGACCACAAACGGGCGGGTGAGCGGGCAACGGGACGTTTAGGACAAAAAAACAAAGGAAACCAGGCAATGTGTACATAGTACACACCTCCATTACAAACAGGATGTCGGATGGGACAAGGGTAGTGCCGAAGTAGGACGAAAGAAAGGGAAAAGTGGGGCGGTGCTGACTGATCTGAGTACTATGATGGTACTATGGGCCGGTGCAAGGCTTGTGCCATGGCTGGACGGGGGATACCGGTATAGCTGGGCTGACTAAGACTGGTGTGAACGGGGTTTTTATCCTGACGCTGGGGGGAAGGGGGATGGATGGTGGGATAGATGTATGAGGTTCTTGATATTCATTTTCATTTTATTTTCATTTTCTTCAACTTGGGGGGAGGAGAGATTGTTTAGAGGTAAGATTAGAATTGGGGAGGGAGGTGGACATTCTATGAAGTGAAGTGGCCTGACCGGTTCTGGGGAGGCGAAAATGTCTTGTCTACCCATCTACCAGTATTCACACATGTAGTGATTTAGTACCCATGCTCGAATGCTTATTCGCGGCGATCTTTGCTTGCCGTGCGGAACTTTTTTCTTGGTATTCATAGTGTGTACATGGTGGCCTGTCCGGACACGTTTTTTGTTTCCTACAGTACACATGGCATCCCTGGAAATCAGGCCATGGCTAATATTAGGTAGTAGGCCCTTATGTTCCGGGAGTTTTCATGTATCAGGGACTCGACGACTACACGGACTCCCGGTTCTGCGGCATGATGGAGTGGGCAATCTCATCGCTCAGCTCGGCCATTTCCACGTCTTTCATGGTGACGCCAGAGGGACTATGACTAGTCCACCTGATTTTGACCTTTCTGTTGTTGTTGGTCCAATCGGGGTGATGTTTCTTGGCCCTGAATTCATCTACGAGCATGGTCATGAATTTCCATGCATCGTCAAAATTGCGGAAGAGATATTTGCGTGAGAGGCCTCTGCCATCATGGGAGATCTTCCACTCGGAAAAACAGATGAGGTCTTGGACACGTGCGCGGACTTGAGGAGGTTGACCTTCTGGTATCGTGAGGCCGGACATGGCTGTCCTGAGCTCTCTGCCAGACAGTCTGGGCTGGGGTTGCTTTGATTTCTCCTCTTCATTTTCTGCAGCTGTGCTTGAGGACAGATTTCCTGCCGTGGAGTTGGTCGAGGCATCGGCTGTAGATATCGACCGAGAGCTTGTCCAGGCTGGTGAGACGAAGAGAGGCGCACGATGCCTTGAAGGCGTGTACGCGTCAACAGGGCACCATGTCCATCTCCCGGTGACACCACTAACGTGGCTGCTAACTCGCAGTGCGCGACTAGAAATTGCACGTCAGACTCGGTAGAATGTCGCTTGTGATGAGTAAGACTGCGATTTGCCCAGACTACGGTTGGCGAGAGTGTGAGGGTGTGCAGGGTGAGGAGCGTGCATGCAGATTTGGGCCACGTCGGATGCCTTGGGATAGAGTACCGGTAGGTAGATGTGACTTACGGAATTGCCTGGGGAAGTAGTCTGACATGTGTCATACCGGACCTCCTCTAGGTACGGTAGCTTTCTGGTGTTGCGAGTGTTATGCCAAAAGCGAGGGTTGACCGGTGTCACACGCCAGGATGTGGTCGCGACATTTTGAAGCTTGGTGGTGTGTGGTTGAGCGACAGAAAAAGAGAGCAGTGGCAGCTGGGGATAGTTCGCGCTAACTGGAATGGGCGTCGAGTGCGAATCCGGGCATCGGTCATCAAGTGCTTACGGTTGATCGTGGTTATGGCGCAGATGAAATTGCCGCGGTGCACAATGCGTGATGAGGGCCGAAAGAGAGAGAGAGAGAGAGAGAGAGAGAGAGAGAGGGCTACTGTACCGGATGGGTGAAGATCACTTGGGCCATGCAAAGAGAGTTTTGTGCAGTCTGGGCGAATGCAGAATGAACGCTTGCTATACCAGCTACTGTTGCCCCGTCCAGGCACTGTCTACTGTCTACTGTCTACTGTCTACTGTCTACCGTCTACTGTCTACTGTCTACTGTCTACCGTCTACTGTCTACTGTCTACTGTCTACCGTCTACTGTCTACCGTCTACTGTCTACCGTCTACTGTCTACCGTCTACTGTCTACCGTCTACTGTCTACCGTCTACTGTCTACCGTCTACTGTCTACCGTCTACTGTCTACCGTCTACTGTCTACCGTCTACTGTCTACCGTCTACTGTCTACCGTCTACTGTCTACCGTCTACTGTCTACCGTCTACTGTCTACCGTCTACCTATGGTATTTGTCTTGGTACTTGGTAGTGGTACTACCAAGGCAGCACATACATGACCGTTGGATGACGAAGGACGGACGGCGTGAAATGTTTCAAGTTTGCAGTCGATAGAGTGCATTGTCAGCATCGTATAATATAATCTACCTAGTAGGAAGCGGCCCGTCGACTCATTCCCTAGACGCTGTCCCAGTGGCACGACCCACGGTGCAGTCATCTGCGGGTCTGGGGTGAAAGGCCATGTATGTACAGCAGACCCTAGTACATACCGCTAGCAATATGTTACTCCATTCGTACCCTCTGCTTTCCTGCCTACTCTGCCAGTCCGCCGATGACCGTCAGATTGGCCGCGGGAGTCGTCGGATCTGGATACAGGCCATTTCCGTACATGCGGACAGTAATCAACGGTGAACCGTGCTAGGACCAAGGCTGGCTTGCATGTCCAGGACTGGTATTGGTACTAGTGGTTAGCCAGGTATTTGGGGCATTGATAAGCAAAGCGGCGGGTAGAGTAGAGCAATGTACTCCTCCTGTTAGAGACACGACACTACAAAGGTGGAGACTTTGGATCGGGGACTGGGGTTTCTGCGCAAAGACTCGCTCGACTGCATCAGCCTCCTGTCAGATGTCAGACTGAGAGACCAGCAGGTGGAATCTTCCTTGAAGGCAATCATCCATTCTGGGCAAAGCAAGTGTACGACTACTGTAGTAGTAGACGCGTTGCATGCACACAGACGCGCGAGATGCAATGCTAAGGTCCGTACTCGAATGTTTTAAAAAAGCACAAACCAA